AACTCAATACATTGAGTTTCCACTCAATTCATGGGACGTGGAATCCGGGAACAAGTGATAAAGGAGGGAAACTTGTATAATACAAAAAAAAAAACTTCCTTGTAATATTTTGATGAGTTAGTATTAGAGCCATGATCCATTAATACACCTTTCATTAATTAAATAATTTTATTAAAATAATTTAATTAATAAAAATATTAAGCAATTAAAATAATTTAATAGTTAATAAAAAATATTTAAAAATATTCACATTATTAATTAAGTCAAAATTATTAATAAAATGAAATAATGATAATGAAATAATAAATTAATAAAAATTTGAAATATTAATTAATGTTAATAATTAACAATAAAATTGTTATTAATTAATTAATTAATGAAAATAAACATAACCATATAATAAAAATGATAATTATTTACAAATAATTAATATTAAAAAAGAATCAGTAATTTATTCATAATGAATATTAATAATACAAAATATGAATTAAAATATTTATTCTTAATTAATAATTAATAAAAAATGTAAATAAGAAACAGCATTACAAATTACCAAATTAATTAATTAGTTATTGTTGTTGGGATTGATTTTCCCACTATTTTTCATTTTGCAATCAAACGATGGAACATGAAAAATTTCCACCCATTTTCTCTTTTTCATTCCATTCCATCCCATCCTTTTTAACTTTCCACCAAAATCACTCCTAACCATCGTAGGATGGATGGCAAGTTATGACCCTCCCAGTTCTGAGCAGGGGTGATCATGGGATGGGTCGAGCCAGGCTTTGCACCTTTAATAAGGGCTATAGCCTGGGCCTGGGCTTAATTCCTAGCCTGTGTCTTTTACGTATGCAATACAATATATGCATAATATTTTATATTATATGGCATAAAACATGCACATAGAATTTAATATATATATTATATAATATAAAATATAAATCGTAAGTGTCAAATTTATTATATTTATATAAAATATACAATGTAATATAAAGTAACATACTTACAGACACAGATATATATTATATGATACATAATAAAATATATGCAGGATGGGCTGGGCCCAAGTTGGGTTTGAAGTATTAGGCCCAGGTTCATTCCTAAAATTTGTGTGTGTGATGCAGATGCAGGCATGGTCCTAGGTCACGGACTTTGTGAGCTGGGCTGAAAATGACCACCCCTAGTTCTTAGCTTTTTTTTTTTTTTTTGGCTGAACAAATTAGTTAGATTTTAGAGCAAGGGTTCCAAAATCCAATTCTAAAAATTACTGATATTCCTGTTTTTCCCACTTCCATGAAATGCAAAACGCCAAAATACTAGAAGGGTAATTTATTTATGCCTCCCTGAGGCTTAAGACAAAGTATTTTGTTCTGAAACCTATTTTGAAATTTTCATTCTTACCTTAAGCTCAGTATGGAAAGAGTACAAATGCAAATATGAACAGCGTAAATACATACAAAATATAAGGTTTTGCACTCTACATATTTGCATTTGTACTCCTTCCAAACTCAGTCTCAGCAGTGTTGCCCAATATGAATTGTGAATAGTTTAGAAAACATAAATTTTGTTGATGTAGAAATTTTTCTTAGAAAACAAAACCATTTATATTGACAAACACCCCCATAAACTCATGACAGCAAAAATAAAATGGCTTGCAAATATTTAGATTTTTATTTTGTTTTTGTGCTTAGATTTCTTTATGGGACAGATCATGTCTTAGCTTTAGCTTGTGATGGTGTTGGATTCTCTTTTAGGCTGTATTTGGTTTAAAAGTTTCCCTGACTTTCCTTACCATTTCCTTGAAACCGAATACAGACATAGAGTTCAACGGAGATCTCCCATCTTGGTTATCCAAGTCTTGGGACATTGATACGTTAGTTGTTGTTTCTTAGTTTGTGAGCTTGTTTATAAAACATATTTTAAAAAGTACAAGTGAGCTTGTTTATAAAACATACCAACCAACTTTTGAAACTTTATGGGAAAACTTTCCAGTTTCCATCACCAGTAAGTCAGAAAACTGAGAACTATTTTAATGAAGGAGGAGGAGGAGAACAAATAATAATTCAACCCCGAATTAAAAAAAGGTATTTACCTATTCTAGATATGGTTACAGGTGGGTTTTATTTCTACTATCATGTAAACTTAGTTATTGCTTATGGTGGATAGCTCGGGGACCTCTTTTGTGTTAGGACTGTCAAATCATCCTTTTTTGGTTAAAAAGAAATATTAATTATGGAGTCTGCATCTAGAATCAAAATTAAATATGTTGACTTCAAATCTGAAATTATACGAATGCCCAATGGCCCATCCTGCCATCCACTCCAATCTAGAATATTGTGTGGCCCAATGGGTCAAGTAAAATTAATATTCCACTGGGCCCACGGTGTGGTGGAGGTGGTTATTATGGCAGTGTTGTGACTAGACTAGGGATCCACACATTAATTATGTTACATTCCTCGCATCTTATCTCCCCCCCTAGTACATGTAAACCAAACAAAAATTTGTTATCAATTAGTGACTATTGACTAATGGATGAAATACTTACATTTTGCCCAAAAGGACTTACATTTTGGTTCAGAATCCGGATCACTCTACCACTTTTAGCCTTGATCCAGTTCTAAAATATCATTTTCTTCATATTTATATCTAGGACTATCAAAAGAGTCAAGAGTCCGAAACCCAATAAAAATTCGATCCATTTAATTTGGACTTGAGTCATTTTTTTGTATATAAGTGGATCAGATGCGAATTTTAATGTTGCGTTAAAAATCGATTTATATCCATTCCGCATACCCGATCCGATTAAGATTCGAGTTTTACTAAAGTTCATATAATATAAATTAAGCTTACGAATACATTAATATTATTATTATACTACATTTCTCAAAAATACCAATGCCAAATTTTCCCCGGATACTGAATATTTATTGTTCTTCCGGCTTTTGGGTGTGACTCAAGCCAATCGCCCAATTGGGGTGTCTTCTTTTTATTTTTATTTTTTGCTTTTTTTCCTTTTTCCCTCTTTTCCCTCCTTTAAGCTATATTTCTTTTGATAGAAAACCAAAAAAATAAAAATAAAAGCTAATGGAACGTTCTTAAGGCTTAGTTTGAAAGGAGTATAAATGTAAATTTATAGAATGTAAAACCTTATATTTTATATTATTTTGCATATATTTATACTGTATACATTTGTACTCTTTTCGAACTGAGCCTAATGCTCAGATTGAGAAGAGTGCAAATAATAAATACTGCCATCCATCATGTACATGCATATTTAAACATATTTATATTTGCACTCTTTCCAAACCGAGCAAAAAGATTCAAATTTCATTTGCATTGGAATGTATAGGAGTAAGTGTAATCGTGTAAATTCAACATATTATTAATTATAAATTTATATTGTATCTTTTCACCAGGCTCAAAGTATCGAAACTCTAGATACCCAAATCTAGAGTTTTGCTTTGATCAAAATTAACTCACTTCTATTATCTTTATGCTGTTAGATTTTGACAGGGGCATCACATCAAAGACTTTTAAACTTCATCACTATTGAGAGTGATTCTATGCTTATGGTGCAGACCCTAAACAACAAGGTTCGACCTCCGTGATCTATTCTTGGTTGGTTAGATTCAATTCAGCAGTTATTAAATGACACCTCACTGAATTTCGTCCACATTCAGCAATTTTAAGTGATGTTCGATCACTTATCTTCTCTTCCATGGGACTGTTATAACTTTTATTTTAATGATCTATTGTATATTCCTCAAATCAAAATTGATTAGTTTATTGTTTTTGTTTATGAATTTGAGAGGTAAGGATGGGGTTATCTTGTATATGGGCTTTGGGGCCATGCGGGTAAGTCCTCCCTTATATATCTATTGCTTATTTTATTGTCTTCTAATAAAATTTGAAGGTGGTTGCCCCTCCACGGCTCCACCTGGAGTAAAGTTTGAGGATTAAAAAAAAAAAAGATTTTTAACACTTGAAAACATTAAAATGAGTGAAGTCCACTTAAACAAAACTAGTAATTAATTATGCATGTATTTTACATATGGGAATTCTAAATGATGAAAATTATAATAATAATATATTTATTTTTTTTTAAATTTATGTATTTTTATTTTTGTTTATATATATATATATATATATTGTTTTTCATTATTAATCAAATACATATTACAAAATCTAAAACTGATTGCATAAACACTTCATCCAAATATGTTATAAACAGATCAAATTGTGAAGTTTCAAAGTATCTTTGATAGGCCTACCTGTTTGGCTAGACTTTTCTTTTTGTAGTGTTTTATCTTTTTGATGTATCTTTTTTATTTTGCTTATTTATCAAAAAAATATAAGATTTAAATAAAATGAATTAAATGAAGTGAAAAGTAGTAGTTCAATTTACAAATTAAACCTTATAGTTAAATAGGGACTAAATTTAAAAATGAGTATTTTAATCACTATTTCAAAAACCGAATCAGAATAGTTGGTCGAACTGTTTGGTTAACTTGATCGGTTTAACCATTAAAATGTTTGACCCAATTAATGGTTCTCAGGTTGCTTTGAAATTAATTCCAATTTTTTTATTTGTTTTAAAATAGAAATTAGAAGATTTAAAATAAAAGAAAATTTCATATCTCATAATCTTATTCGATTATCTTCAATGGACAATTAATTAGGGTTTTTAGTTTTTCCATTTTGATTTTGAATTTTCTCATTATTTTGATTCTTATTAAGTTATAACAGCAAAAAAATTGCAATTCTGATGAAGAAATAAAAAAATCGATACAATATATAAAAGATTAACACTAATTTTATATTAAAATACGAGATACACTAATAAAATAAATGATGATCCTGGAGATAACCGTCCTCCTCTTCTTCTAAAAACAACGCAAAACAATACATGGGCGTTTGTCTTTGTATCCGGTTTATAATTTTGAACCGGAGTTGATCGGGTCTATACCCCTTTCTATTCCAGTTAGACATATTGACATCAAGAAAAACACCAAAAACATTTGGAAAAGATGACCTCTTCCTGCATTCGTTCTATTCCTTCGCGCGTTTAACAAGGCTATTTTTTTTTTTGGAGAGGAATTCAAGATATCGTGAAGCCAAAACCTCTTCACAGAAGGAATCAAGAGATTGTGTAGTCAGAAGTGTTTTTCCAAAACCTTTTCCAAGGAGGGAATCCAAGAAATCGATCAAGAAGAAGAAGAGACCAAGAGCTCTTCTACTTCCCGCATTCCTAAAAGCTTCAAACGATTGTTGTTCGTCTGAGATCGACTGAGAAATCAACGGCATACTAGTATCGCTCACTTGAGAAGATTCCATTTTTGTGTGAATCGGTGATTGAGAGAGGGGAAGATTTGTTTTCTTCGATTGGAAAAGATCCAATATCATCCTTGCATTTGTTCGTTGTTTGACCAAGAGAAATCGACGACATTCTAACCCTCTTAATAGTTTTTCATTATGTATAATGGGTACTAGGGTTTTTTTTTTCCCAATCCTCCCTCTTTTTGGGGTTTTATGTTTGATTTGGAGTTATTATTTGTGTTTCTGGGCTTGTTTTGTCTAGGTACTAGGGTTTTTGTCTGATTAATTGGAATAGTCGAGGATGTGGCAAACTCAAACTCAAGGATTTTGTCTCAGCTATCTATGTCTGAGTCGAGTCAAGAAATAAAATAATCTAACATTTTGACTTTCCCTCTAGAAGGCTTAGTTGAATTCTTGTTTTTAGAAGCAAGGTTTTGACGTGGTAGTATGTGCTTTCTCAGAAAGTTATATTCTTTTATGTCAAATTTTGATCCCTTAATTTCCGTTGGTTTATGCTTTATGCACGATGAACCATATAAATCAAAAAGAGAAAATGTTTCTGTTGGATGCCAATAACTAGATTATGTCTATAAATCTGATTTTAATGTTTCTGCTCACCGATTTTAATGTTTGAAATGTGCCCACTCCCCTACCTGCAAATGAAGAGAAAAAGGACATTAATAAATCATACCAAAAGCTTCATCTACATATATGCATTATTGTGATATGCTGATTACAATGTACTACAGTTGTATTGAGCTGCATTTTTGTACTTAGCAAGTTAAAGATTGCCCACTCAGCAACTTGTTGTGCCTGCATGTATGAGCATGTAACAGCCAATAGAGTTAAAAAACAGAGTCAGAGCTATAAAAAAAATAACAAAACCAGTTCATAAACAGAAACTCCCGTAACTCTTAATTCGCCAGTTTTCCACAATTAGTTTATTGAAAAGTTCCTCTTGAAAACCTCAGTTCAACATACCACGTTACCAACTCAACATATAATCAGATATACATGCTATTGCTAACATGTCCATGCTATTGAATTCTACATTTTCAAAGTTCGCTCAGCACAATAACACCAACTAGTTAATAAAGGACATTACCCAATGTTGGTCACATGATAATTCCAACAGAGAATAATATCCCAACAAAATTGCCACATAAACCAATAGAAATCTTTTTTAATTGATAAAAATGTTTCTTATTAAGAAATTACCAAACTTTGTACATAAAGGCATCCCAAGAGGCCTGATTGAATTTTATGAATGAGCAGATTTAGATAGCATCCTAATGGCTGGTTGAATTTTAGAATCAAGATTCTAAGATTCAAACTCTAGAATTGAACCCTGAAAATCCCATCTATTCAAATTCTAGAATGGAGCAAGTACATGATCATTGTATGTTTTATAGTATTTTCCTACTGATTATTATGATGTTAGTTGCATTTGATAATTCACATTTTGTTTAAATAATTTCTAATTGTCCAACTGGAGCTATTGTACATTTTTAGCATTACTATAACTTCTTTGTCGTCTATAGTTTACACTTTCTGTATGGTCATTTGATTAAACCATTAAATAAATTTCAATGGAAGCAATAGCCAGTAAGAACTCTTTATAAAGTGTTCTCAGCATCATTTTTTCAGTTCATGGTAATTAGTTAGGAGAAGGTCGGTAGGGGATAGAGGAGAGAGAAAGGGTTGGGAGGTTCACAGTGGAGCCCACTATACATCTTGTGAAATTCAGCTTGCTTCTTTGTGATTTTGAATATGGAGATGTGATGAAGGAGAGATGCCTTAAGAGTGTTGCAACTAGTTCATTGTCATGTAGAATGTCACTATTGACGTTCTTTGGTGTCCAAGTGCTGAAATTACATCAGGACTACTAATAAGGAATCTTGATGAAGTGCTTCTCTTGGTTATTTATTTTTGTTTCATTGGGACAAGGCTTGCCAGTATTTTTGCAGATTCAGGATATATAATTGGGAATGCATGCACTTTAGTTTCAGTGTCAGCCTGAAAACCACTATTGTCCCATTGAATCTAAACATTATGATTGACTTTAGTTAACTCCATATCATAGGGACAAGGCTTTGTTGAATTCAGTTGAGAAAGTTTATTCTTTCATCAAAGGAATGTTTATAGCAATTAGGTACTCTTACTTGTTTTGTTAATTTTTGTATTTGATTTTTTGTAATTCTTCAGATTTCCATTTTCTTCTTGCCTAAGCATATTCAGCAATTCTATTTGCTCTTTGTCAACAAGCTTAAGCCCAGTAACAGGGCTATAGTTGTTGAGGGAAAGAGAAGCTGAACTTTCAACATTGCACAGTACATTGGCAATGAAAGGACAAGGTAATGTGCATTGAGTCAACATCACAGAAATTTTATACTATAGTCATGTTGGTGTTTATCTTTCACTAACTTATTCGTTAATATTACTCATTAAACATGCAAATGGGCATCACCTGTCAGAAGACCAAGTTCTAACACTCTTTGACAGAGTAAATGGGGTTGGAATCCTTTTTGCAGAGACAGAACTCAGAAACACAGAGACCCATTATTCAGGTCTTTCCTTCTTGGGATGTTCTCTCTCTCTCTCTCTTTCTCTCACTCACTCACTCTCACACACACATACCTGGATGGAGATAAGGCATGATGCAGTTTAACAAATTTTCCTACCCATGATTTCATTACAGTAGGAAAATCCCAATTTTTGAATCTTTTATATATGGTGACTTGCTTGCTGAATAAATAAATTATTTTTCTTCTGGTGGATCAATGATGAAGCTGATTGGTTGGTTAAAAATAGAAAAAGCTTGTTGATTGATCTTTTTATGATTGGTAAGTGTTGGTTGATGTTGGATATCCGATATTGTGAAATTCTCTGTTCCATCAGAATTTATCAAGGACAATACAAGGCATTGTCATTAAATAGAAAGCACCTAACCAAGACTTACAACCCAGCTTAAAGCTACCCCTTTTACCTATAAACCAATCAGTTTTGATATGGCGCTCCTGGGATTGAAGTCACCTACACTACAGAAAAAATGAAACTGCCGCTAAAAGAAGGATGGAGTGATGGGACCAGTAATATAATAGCTCGGGGATGCCATATAATCAATTTTCAATTTCAGCCTAGAGTTACAGATCCAGTCCCAGGCCTGGTATTTCCCCGGATAAGTAGAGCTAGCTCCCATGATTCTTCCTGTGAGAAGGATTCTGTTTTATTTTTAATAAGAAGATTTGATATCAAATCTTATGATTTCATATTCTTATTAATAAACTTATGATTGGTAACCATTCAAAACAAGATGTTTTTTATAGTATTAGGTTACCAAAAAATGGTCATTCAACATAAAAGTATGAAACATCCATTCTTAAGAAAATTTAAAGAAATCTTTTTAAGTTATAAACTTATAATTAACTCTTCCTGTCTTCCAGGGTAGTTACCTAAAATAAATTCCATTTAAGATGATAATGGATATTTTACCAAATAGAATTCAGATATGATCACAGTAACTTTTGATCAGATTTAGGTTAGGCAATATTGGTTTGGAATGAAGACAAACATCAATGTGATTGGGGACAACTGAGGATTTCAACCACTTGTGACACAAATGTGGCACAAAAATAGGGAACCCTACCTTGTCTTGGTTGGGGTTCTCCAAATTCTAGTGGAAGAGCCAAAAATGAATTGAGAACTGAAGATTGGCAACTGAAAGAGTGACCTATCAAATCACAGACATGGAAAGAATGGACTAAAGAAACAGATGGGAGTGGCTGGTGTGGAAATGATCAGCAATCTGACTTGAAATTCAAAAGGAGCTCATAGTAATTCATTCAGGGGCATGTATGCCCTGATGCATAGGTCATTGGATGTAAAAATATTGGATTAGTTAGAAAATATTTAATAGTTACTACTGAGTACTGACTAAATGGGGGACTTTTTTTCCATTGCTGATGTTGAGAGTTTTGTATCTTGTGCAGCCTAGTACATCTTTGGTATCGAGGAAGCCACTGCAACCTGATAATAAAAAGCATATTGATGAAGAAGATGCTTGTTCTGTTGCTTCCTTGTATCCTTTGACCCTTCTCAACCTAAAGTCTAAATAATTCTCTTTTAGTTATCTGTTTATAACTTTTTTTTTTTTTTGTTTCTGGATCTGGGTTATCCTTGGCCATACTTAGTACTGCAGCATCTGTTCAAGCATTAAAACCCAGGAAAACAATTGCATCAGCTCCTAAATTCCGATGCACTGAGCATGCTGAAAAACGGAAGGAGGTACTTCAGTTTTTAGACTTCTGAATATGGAATTCCCTGCTTCAGTGACATTCTTGATTAATGGTTCTTAGTTGCAACCCATATTTAAATTATGTGCTGACTCCATTCTCATTTCGTTTCTCTTCCATTCTACTCAGAGTTAGAGGAGAAACACCAGGCTCTGGAGGCAGAGAGAATCCAAGTTGAAGCTAGGACTATGGTACATTACTTCCTTTAGTTTTCCCTAAAGCATTAGGTTACATGTTGATAGAAGAAGACATGGGTTTATTTAACAGAGGATATTTGTTAGTATCTATTGTTTATGGGGTATTTTCTAGATAACATTTACTTTTTCTCTAACCAGAAACTGATTTTCATGCCTCTTACTTCCCAACACTATTCTTTCTTTCCCTCTACATTTTCTTCTATTACTTAATTTATCACCAACTTCTTTTTTTTGTAAGCTCTATTAATTTCACCAACTGCTAGCTTTATCTTGTATATCAATGTCTTTTGCCCTATGTTTCTTGAAATGCAAACAGGGAATAAGTCTATACTTGGGATTGAATGAAGTGTGTTCCCTTCGGAAAGGTGTTGGGAGATCCAGCTACTAGCAGAAGCATAGAAAAGGATGTACTTGAAAGACATTTTATTATTGATTGAAAGACAGATTTGTGATGCTAATATCATTCATCATGTGCCACCTTTTCTCTTCCCACATTCGAAACTGCGATTTTCATATTAGCTGATTCATTTTCTTAATCTTTCAGCTCCATTCTCTTTAACGGGTACAAATAGGTGGTTTCAAGCTTCCATCAGATCTGGGGAAGGGAAAAATCCATACCTCTTGTCTTGTTTCAAAGAATTGCATCTTCCCAAGTGTGAAGTTTGCCTTCAATTTGTAAGCAAAGTTTCAGTATATTTGAACTTCATTGCTTGTTTTTACTTTATTGAAAGAAAATGAATAAATTTCAACCCCTAAACCCAACACTGCCAAATTAGCATAAACAAGTCTTCCTATAACTATTTTGCTTTCTACAGTGTTGCTGCTTCTTCAATGTCTGCTTTGAAACAACCAAACCGTTAGAGTTGTGGCCATCATAGCTGAAGGTGTTCCAGAATCAGGTACCATGCAGTTGATTGCATATGCATGGTTGAATAATAAGGTGAAAATAGATCATGATAGAAGACTTAGATTCATTTAAATGTCTCTTGCATCACATAATGAAATTCCAATACTTGGACATAGAATAACTAAATGTCGGATGCTTCATTGAATGACACAGTAAGTTGGCACGGTGTTCTCTAGTTAGTCACAAGCCGTGAATGAGTTTAAAAAGATAGTTTTTAGATTCATTTAAATGTACTTTGCGTCACATAATCAAATTCAAATATTTTGACATAGAATAAATGAATGCTTGATGCTTCAACGAATGACACAATAAGTTGGCACAGCGTTCTGTAACTAGTCACAAGCTTTGACTGTGTTTAAAAAGACTGTTTTGGGTTGGTGTTAGGGATTTCTTTTAGGTTTCAGTTGCAAACTTACAATACACAGTAATAAATTTGCCATGTCTTGTGTCTGTTAGTTACTTGTAATTCAGTGGCATACAACATATAGTCATGATTTAGTGCTTAATGTTTTGCTGAATTAAGTATACTTAATTTTAATATTGTCCTGCAGCATGAAACAGTCCAAAAATGTGATGGCACTAAAGTGTTTTCTAAAAATATAAAGGAAGGGAGTGGGTTTATTAGTCAGGTTGTTCATTGAAGTGCATACAATTGAGAAATATTCCACATCACAAGATAATTTGGATTGCATTCCATTGAAGTGATCTGCCTCTGTTATTCTCCATTGAGGTGCATAAATCAAAGATTCAAGGTTATAATTGATGGCTGAGCAACATGTAGACAAAGGGGAAATTTGCAGTCCATTTTAATGAAAAATACATAATTAGGGATATCAACATGTATTGGTTTTTACTTTTAAATTTATTGGAAGTGATTTTTACTAAATCATTTGGATCAATAACAGTTCTTCTGTGTTTTCAAAAGCTCAAGAGAATGTCTTTAAAAATCTGACTGGGTCGTGGGTTAACAAATCCAACCATTTGGTTTGGTCTGAGTCTAACAAGTTTTGAACAACATTAGATATTTTTGGGTGATTTTGATGGTGGGTTTGGTTGCATTAGATGTATTTTTTATTGTTTATTTTTTACCTTCCTGGCACTAGAAGTGAAACCTCTTCAAGACTTCCATAGCTTGTAGCTCTTTTTTTTTTAAGTTAATGATTTTTTTTACTTTATTATGGAAAAAATCTTGCCATCCTCCCACATAAAGTTTCAAGTGTGATATTACTTGGTGAATCTACAAGAAATTAGAACCTTTGGGATTTTTCATTTTATTACATGTATGTCTAAAATCTGAAGATGTGGATAAAACAAGTAGGTGCCAATCCTTGAGAAGTCTATTTAAGATGTTTGATACTAATGAAACATTTGGTATGAATGATAAGCAATACTGGTTCTCTTTCTTCTCTATGTCAACAGTAGGTCATCTCCTGCTTACTGTCATCATCTTGTAAGCTTTCTTTGGTTAGCATTGCGTCCTTAAACAAGGGAGAAGATTGTTTCTTAAATATTTGGATTGGCCATGTGTACTTGCTTGTTCAGTGGCACTGGCTTTAGGCCCAATACTTGACCTAGTGAGTGGCTATTGGCTACATCTTTAGCCCTAATAACAGAATTGTAGTGGTGTAATTTATTACTAAAGACAAAGCACATGCCATGTTTGGGGCTTGTAGCTTGTGGGTGTTATCTTTTTTGTTACAACTTAGAATTACAATTGAGAGGGAAGAGTTACTTTTGATAAGACGAGCATCAAGCAGGCCCTATTGCTTTCATAGGCCACAAAGTTTTAAAATTAAATGCAGATGAAGAATCTCCCTTATTACTAGTTAGATAGCATCAGAGTAAAGTAGTAAATACAAACAAACCAGGAGTCCTCCATGGTGACCAACCAATACAAGATAAGTAGCTTCATCAGCATAACCTCTGCTGAGCTCTGGCAGCTTCTTCAGAAATTATTAAGGGGGGTGGGGGTTTAAACTTCTAAGTGTAGGTTTAGTGGTATGAGATGAGTTTTGGGACAGAAAGGAACAGACCCAACTTGTTTTTTTCCCCTCTAAAATTTCCTTGTTTAAAACCAGAATGTTCATTACTTTGGTTAAGATGGTGATTTAAAGTCGTTACTTTGGTTAAGATGGTGATTTAAAGTCATTACTTTGGTTAAGATGGTTGCAAATTAAGAGATCCAGACTAGATGTAGATGAATCTATTGATCACAATTTATGAATGTACCAACAGCGGGAGAACACTCAGCTATCTGCTTTTCCTCCTATTGAGTCCAAAGCTATGTATATTCTATTCCATTTAGCATCTATAATATTTATTAAAAGAAATCCAAAATCTCTCTCTCTAAACTGCTCTTCATATCTTTTACTTTCAACAACAATCCATGCTTTTAAAATTTTTAACTTTATTTTGAATATTCATTTTCCTTTATTAATCCTCTAACAAATTTGGGCATCAAAAGAAAACTCTTTAAAATTTACTTTTTAATTTGTGATCATTGTTCCAATTCCAATTATAAGTGATGAATTGCGAATATGCCCATATGGATGCTATAGAACTACTATTGGTATTTCAATTCCTTGGAATTCAGCCCGTGTAAATTTTATTAACCATCTCTATCTTTGTAGTTAAAATACTTGAATATAATTTTAATATTTATATGTTTTAATTTGCATGTTCAACCAATATGTTAAATGGATTTGCATCGGAAGATGAACTACATAATTAGAGAATTTGAAATTTTTTAAAGTTTTGGTACTATTGAATTGGATATTATATTTGAACAATTTCTTTTGGATGTTTTAATATCTAATCTTTGAATTAATAGATTTCATTTTAAATTGTTTTTTATTAAGTTGTCTAAGTTTTCATTTATCAATTGTCAAATGATTTGTTGTACTAATCAATAAAAAAATTCAGGTACCACAAAAATGCTAAAATTAAATTGGGCATATATATTTTTTTTGAAAAAATAAGTCTATGCCGACGGTCGTGCTTAATAAAATGGCAATTACATAGGACTAAGGGCAGCGGTCATGCCTGCCGCTTTAGTGCTTAAATAGGACCTAAGGCGGCAATTTTTTGTTTGTTGCCTTGCTATTAAAAGGACTAAAGCTGGTGGTCCATGTCCGCCGGCTTGAATCATTAACAAGACCAAAAGTTGAAGTCATGCATATAGGACCTAAGGCGATGGTCATAAAGAACATGGACTGCCGCCTTAAATAGGGATAAGCACTTTAGGAGATTTTGAACCGCCTTGGACCAAGCGGCAAAGGTGGCAGTTTTGTCTGCCTAAGCTAGCAGCCTTCATCTAAGGTGACAGACGACAGTGCTTTAGGCTGCGGGTGGATGGTTGCCGCCTTTTATCTAAGACGGCGGTCTAAAGGCCTAAGTTGGCAGTTTTTGGATAACTGACTTAGGCTGTTTTTCTTGTAGTGGCTTTACAACAACAATCGGTGAACATGGTGACAATCACCTCCAATGATACTTCTCTTTTTCTTCGTTTTCTTTCTTTTTTTTTCACTTCTCAGCTTTAACCAACCACATCCTTCTTAAAGTCTTGCACTCCTGTCTCATAATAATGTATATATATATATATATATATATATATAGTGGACTTTGACCCGCTCAAACTGGATGGTTGAACCATTGGCCTAGAAATTAAAACCCAAATTAGTTCTGTTTCTACGTTGTTTTTAAAACCTTGATTTTTTTCAAAAGAACCTTGATTTTTTTCAAAAAAACCTTGATTTTTTTCTATATATTTTTGTTGTATTTTTGTGTGTGAAAATAATGTGTTTTTTATTTTTATATTTTATTAAAATTTATATTTATAATGACATTAAAGGTTAGCACATTTAACCCAAAAGTTGAACTATTTACTATTAGTTTTTATATTTCATTTTTGGTTAGTTCTAAAATATGAATTTTATTTTCATTATCAATAAAAATAGTGATTGTTTATTACATTTATTGTTTTAATTTGATTAATAAAAAATATCACAAAGGTGCCTAATTTTTTGTAATTTTACATATTTATTTTTATTTAAAAAATTTATTACCCAACTATGACTTCATAGGATGATTAATTTAGTTCATATTGTTGAATTGCTTAGCCACCACTTGGATAAATAATGATTTTGTTTTTGAGCCAATTTTAAAATATATGAGTTTATATTGTTAAAAATATTTGACATAGTTCTAATTAGTAGCATTTATTTGTGAAAATTAATTTAAAAATATAGGATTTAATTAGAGAAAATGAGATTTATACCTCAAGTATAAGACTTAATGAGAGGGGATTAAATAAGCAAAAAGTAATAACTAAAGTTACATTTTCAACACTTACAATTAGAAATGGATTAAATCCACAAATATGGCCGTTATAATAGCCATTAAAATTGACATTAGAGTTATAATAAAATGACTTTTATACCTTTTCTCAAATAAAGAAATAAAGGATAATTTTAGTCCAAAAAAAGTTTTACACTGCATCCACACTTTTATATATAGTATAGATATTGAGGACCCAATGATACGATACAATACACCTAATATAAAACGTATTGTATTGATATTTTGAACCTTGCCTCTTGATATAAACTATTAAAGTGTAAATTTCAAATGTATTTATTCATACTTATTTCAACTATAGATTTGGTGTTATTGATATATTTGTTAGATTTCTAAAAGTCTCTTTAATACCATCAACATATCCATATATTTTCCACTTTTTCTATGCATTTTTCCAAAGCGTATTTATATCTATATCTAAGATTCTTAATTAATATTTTTGAATCTCCGATAAGGGTTGTTTGTTTGCCAATAACTGCAGTGAAACACAGTGCAAATTTTATATCAACCAGGAGTGAAAACCAAAATTACGAATAAATGGATATAAAACTTAATTGGATGCAAAATCTGTGTTCACTTCAAATTTTGCCTAAGAAATTTTGAAGTTTCGGAAAATTTTCCCTAAAACTTTTTCTTTATCTTCTATCAAATGGAACATATATAGTAGTTCATCTTCTCCTATCAAACTTCTCTAGAAACTTCAAGTTTTGAATGAAAATTGTCAAAATTATTTACAGTCATACTAGTCAAACAGGTTATTTAAGAAACCATAAACTAAACAGGTGTTTGGCTTCGGTGCTGGGAACACAGCATGGAGCTGACATGTCTGGGTGTTTATTTTTTTTGTTTGGAAGTGGTGCTGCCACAGGCTGTTTTTTTGGGAAAACAGCATTGGTTTTGTTTGGTATCGGTGTTGTAGAACCATTTTCAGTATGGTCATATTATCTAATGTTTAACATGATGCTACATTGATGTCACATCATTGCACTATTGACAGCTATGGGTTGTTTTTTGAGAAAACATCGAATTTGGCATTATTTCAGACCACTCTCTTGATTTTTAAGGCATGGTCTGAAGCAATGTTTTTATGGAAAAATGGTACCAAATAAGAGGCCATTTCTGAAACATCGCTTTTTATGTGGTGCCTATATAGCGCCTTTTTGTCAGAAAATGGCATTGATGCCAAACACTGCCTAAACTTGGATCAGAAGAACCAACGAAACCGGGTAACTATGGTATACATTATCGATTATCATCTATGAGACTATGACTCAAAAATAAAAATGTTTAACAGTGGTGCATACTTTATTTTTATCTCTTATCATTATCACACAAGGGTGGGAATCGTGGGTTTGCATACATGTAAGGGTCCGTGTGGTTTGCCAAAAATAGGGGTATGGAATCGGACCATTCCAATAATTTAAGGATGCTGGGTGGAGATCGTGATTTCACATTTGCCACATCGAAAATTCTATCGTCATTCACCCTTTACGAAATGACCCCACTAATAGGGGAAAAACATGGCTGTTTGGAAAAAGGAGCCTGGGCTGTTTTGAAGCTATTTGGTAGAACTGTTTTTCTAATTACATGGAGTCTGTTAAAAAGAGTCCGATCAACAGTGCAGGCTGCTTTACGAGCGTTTTTTTCATAAGTGAGGCCCTGATTCACAAGTGTTTCGTTTCATATAATTTTTTGAAAAACACAAGAAAAAAGTTAGGATGCAGGCGGATTGAGCATTTAAAGTGATTTGACTTAATATTATAATATATTTATAATGATAATTATGTGACATTTCTCAATTTTTTCAAATTCCAATGTGCCATGTTAATGCAATTTTCTTGTCAATTCCATTTAATTGCTAAAATGAGATTTTCTTAGGGGTGTCAATTGGACTGAATTTGGTCCAATCTGATCCAGTCCAATGCGAATCCATTATAAATGGACCAGGTCCAATCCAATCCAATGAATGTTTTGGACCAATCCAATTCAATGTTTGGATCGTCCAATCTATTCAAATTCATTTTGATTTAGATTGGTTTCAACTCAAACCCAGACCATTGACACATATTCTTATCTTATATCAATGGACCAGATGTTGGCTTAATCCAACCTAATCCAATGTAAATTTGTTATGGATGGATCAGGTCCAATCCACTCTAATTAATATTTTGGACTGGATTGGTCCAAACCAATATGTCTTGTTGGTCTGTCCAATTCATCCAAATTAATTTTGGACTGGACGGGTTCCAATCCGAAACCAGTCCATTGATACCCTTAGATTTTTTTGCCGATTCAGTTTAATTGCTGATGTGACACGCATGATACATCAACAGAAACAGAACACTTATGAAACACTCCAATGCTAAACACCCACTTTGCGTTCATGACAGCAAAGAAAAGCCTTGTACAAAATGTTGATACCCACAATTTTCACCTCTCAGCCCACAAAGTAAATGTATATAATCAGTTTGGGTTGGCCAAGCCTGGTAGCAATGGGATTTGATCATTTGATCCCAAGTTTCTGCTATAATTAGCTAATGAACTTACCAATTGAACCACCATCAGTTGTAATTCCTGTGCCCATTTAGATTGGACCAAATCCAGGGAGTTTTCACCTTGCTGAAATAATGGCTGGTGAACGAAACCCTACAGCTACTCTTACTCCCCACTGATTCTCCTTTAATTCATACTCTTTAGCTATAGTGGATGGATCCTGGGACTCTACCACTCATACAGCTTCTACAGGTCTTTATTTATTGTCTTACTCCCACAATGTTTGCATTGCAGAAGGACAGCCATGCCAGTCAAACGATTCCTCAGAAACTGTGCTCTGGACAATCATCCGAGGCCTAAGAAGACTGATTTCTCTAGGAATTTTGAAAGCTACACTCATATCTGATTCGAAGGGAGTTCTTTTGAAGATAAAAGGAGCCACTGAAAACATTAGATCGATGGAATGAAAAAGTTTTGCTGGATCATGTCAAATATCTTTTGAGATTTTTTGAAAGCATAAATCTGATATTTGTAAGTTGCTGTAGCGCATAATCTAGCAAGGAAAGCTAATGTACATAGAACGTAACTCACTCTTTTTGCACTCGTTCACCCCCTCACTCTCAAATCGTTATTTCTGTAAGAGGGAGCTCCTTATGTACCCTTGATGATTTTAATGGATCCTTTTCATTAAAAAAAAACATACTGAATTAGGCACTTCATCTCTAAAGATAGCATGGTTTCAGGCCCAGTACTGCAAACTAACAAAGAACTGAAACAACTCACTATTTTTATTTTCTGAGCTGGAACATACTTTCTGCTAATCTTCAAACCAGTCTTTAAAACTTCTATTTTGGTTCATACTTTCAGCCCCTCTACCAAATCAAACACATCAAGCATGCTCACACCTGAAAAGAGCATCTTCTAGAGATTTACCTTCAAAAGGGTTTTTGAGACTTGTAACATCTGCTATGTAAAGAGAGAGTAAAATATATTGGCTCGTAATATAGCAAAATAGTCTGTAAGACAGTAAGAGGGGTGTAGATGTATTTTCAGTTACCCCTCATTGGTTTGGATGTAAACATTTTTCAGGAGTCCGGATCACCTGTCAGCAAAACACGTTACAACCCTCTACCAGCATGATTTTACACCCCACATCTTATAAATGGCGGGTCCCAATTTCATGGTGAGATGTATGGTGTGAGATGTCTGAATCACCTTCTTCTTATTATTAATTTAAAAAAAAAATAAAAAGAAAAAAGACCAAGGGACATGTATTCAGCAGAACTGGTCCCTCCTTGAGTAAGAACTGGAGTGATTTTTTTTTCTCTTTTTCCTCAAAATAAGAAAATCTCAAATTGAACTTGCCTTTTAAACTCGGCAACCAAATCAGGGCCAATCACAATTTAGAAGGTTGATGCTAAGAATCATGTCAGAAACTTGAAGGAAAATTTTCCCTAATGATACTCTTATTCCAACTCTTGTTATATATTTTCATACATTTGATTTTCACATAGTTCAAATCAAGGTTCAAAGTATCGACATTTATCGGCCTATATCGGCCAATACGTATCATTCCAGAACCCCTCCAATATGCCCCTATAGTGGGTGTATCGGGGGTCTGACCGATTCAGCGGGTGGAGGAGCCCTAAACCAGCCAGCCCCCCATTCACCCGATACACCCCATGTATCGATATTTTGAACCTTGGTTCAGATTAAAATTTTCGATCTTAGCCCATAGATCTTATAGACCGGCAAACCTGCTGGAATCCATAGATCATTCCAAATTCCTAGTTGAGACCCAGAACCAATGCTCTAATAAGCACCTTCTCTAATCATCTCCCTTCCTATCAAGATACTCCTCCCACTAATACTATTCGATTCACAATTCAAAATCAAATTAATCATTGTTAACCGGAGGGTCTACTACTAATCTCCAAGCCAGTTTGGCTGGTAAAAGCTTTGTTAAATAAATTGGGACTGCCATCCGAAATGTTTTTACTAATTTGATTCTATCTAATGATCTAATGTTTTTTTTTTCTTTTTTTTTACACTTTCATCAGCATAACCCACAAAAAATCCCCGAATCTCTCTCAAGACTTCACAAAATGTTGTTTTGAAGTGCAAAGCAGGACATGCAATAACGGAGGACAACTGTAACAACATCCTTTAACAAGTGTTGGAATGACAACCGATAATATTATAATCTGTATGTGCATAGAAAAAAACAAATGTAGATAGCAAGATAGCTAAAGAAAGAAAGAAGAGAGAGAAAATAATGATTCGGCTAAATTGTTTATATTCACGGACAGCAGCTCGAAACTTTTTTTCTTCACTATAAACAAGAGAAAATATAATACTAAAATGACCTCATTAGAACCTCACCTGTACCCAACACTAAACTCTTCTCAACACACTGTATAAAATGAAAATAAAATTAAAACGAAAAGAATAAAGGAAAGGACCCCTATTTATACTTATAGAAAGAAGTATAAAGAAAATCACATACTTAAACAGTGAAAATAGTCTTCACAACTAAGTAATTAAATAATTAAATAGGTGGGCTCCTACCAGTGGGCCACCGATTGTGATATGGTGGCTCATTCGGTGAGACCGTTTGTAATTTGGTGGGCTCAGTCAGTATGCTATACTGGCCCACCGAATTTTCTGTAACAACAAGACTTCCCATCATGGGAGAGGAATTTACTTTGTTAGTTCCTTGGTTTGTTCTCCACTCTATCTACAAGCTTTTCTAGTATCGCCTTTTCGGCATTATAGTTGAAATTTCAACCATCACAGTGAAGATATCATGTTCTACTTCATGATTCAGAAAATATATTCACAATTCACAATATATATATATTTATCATTAAACACTTAATCATTGATAAAGATTCATCTATTACATGTTCTTCATTCTCAAATTAATTTTTTGTTTCATGGTGTAGCTCATGCACCATAGATTTTAATTAGAATGAGCCATCCTATCAGAAAAAATTAGGATTATCTGATCCTATTTCTATAAATTTTACCAAAATAAGCCATAAACAATTTAATACAGTAAATTCACAATTCATCAAGTCAGTCATTACCAAACTCTGTTGAGTGTGAGACCGGATCTGCTCCTCACACACAGGGTGCCTCACACCGACCTTACAAGTGCACTGTGTGAGGAGCTGATCCCAATTCGTGGAGTGGAGTCCAGCTTCGGTTAGGGCAAAGTCTATTCCAACAGTCTTTACAGCCTTAGGTTGGAAATATCTCTGTAATTATGTGATTTATTTTATGTGAGATATTTCCAATGCAAGGTTACAAGGGGTTGTATGAACGGTGCAAGCATCATATTTCCAAGCGGAACTCAATTGTCAAATTATCTGTCAGCAGATCTATCATAATTCTAGGCCCTTAGCCCCTCATCAACTTAACGTTTGGCTCTCAGTATGATTATGTTAGGGAGTTTAAATCTGCCCCCACCGAGCGTGCCTCAATAATGTTTTACAGAACATCTCAACCATGTATTAAGAATATCTACTAGTGATAAATACGGGAGATATTCACAATGCACGCTGAGATGTGCATGTGAGGCATTTTTGGGGCGCATTGTGGGTGTGGGGGGCAGATGTGAATTCCATATTAGTGAATGCCTGAATGAAACTAACTGTAGAGTGTAGAGCCATTCTAATGTTAATGTATGTCAAAGTGGATAATAAGGGAGGAGTAAAAGCATGGAGGTTTGATTGGTCTCACCAGATGTGAACTCCAAGGCACGTATGGAATCCGTGGATTGAATTATAATTAATAAGTATGGGAGATGTTCCAAATGCATGATAGGATGTGGGAGATGCCTGTGAGGCGCCAGGTGTGAGAAGCTGTAGGCGGTAGGCAGTGGCGCAACAAGCCTTGAGCAAAGTGTCGATTGTCCGTCCGCAGCGTTTTGGCTTACAGAAGCAGGAGGCAAAGTAAAGCCGCGAAGGTTTTCTTGCAGAGTCAGGAAGGAATCTTATCACAAGTGAAAGAACAGTCCACGCCACTGTTTAGTCGCTCTTCCTCTCTCCTGCTTCCGGACGCACACCTTCCTTCCCGCACAATGCAGACGTTATTACTACCTGGGGACCGAGCTGCAGCAGTAGTTGGACTTGGATCAGCATTTTCTTCTCATCGGACTCGTCTCCTCCACCGGACGCTCTCCCTGAATCGCAACCCCGTCCTTCCCTTATCTTTCCCCAAATCTTCTTCCTCATCTCTTCTGCCTTTCGTCGAGTCTTTTTCTATCCTTTCCGGCAAGAGAAGGGCCATTATCACCCCTACGTCCGCCTCGGCTTCTCTTTCCCCCTCCTTTCCTTCCACCATCGACGAGTCCGAAAAGGCGAAACTCGCTCAGGTTCTCTTTCCTTCTATCTCTTTATTCGCTTCCTTTTACCTTTTAAATTGACGAATGTAAAGCCAAATCACTCGAGTAATCATGAATTTTGTTTCGTTCTGACTAATTTAAATCCCTAATTCGGTAATGCGATTTGTTTGTTTCTTGGAATGCATTTGCTTTCTAATGTGTATGTTTTTTTTCCCCAGAAGACTTAGATTGTCATTTGAATCTCTACTCCAGGTTGCTAAACGACTAGAGAACACTTCGAGATATTTCAGGCGGTTGGGTGGTCTAGGGTTTTGGAGTCAGCTAGTTTGCACCTTGGTGGCCGCTGTTATTCTCTCCTTCTCTGTAGTTATTACCGGGAAGATATCATCACCAATTACATTCTATGCTACTGCTGGTGGCATCGCTGCTGCATTTGTTTCGGTCTTTTGGTCGTTTGGCTATATCCGTCTTTCCGACAGGCTTAAGAGAACTGCCACCGAGCCTGCAAAGGTAACAGAAAATTCTGTTCGGTATTAAGGTTCTTGAAATTGACTGGTGGTGTATCTGAATGATAATTTGCATTTAACGTGATTCTTTGTTTATTCTGGAATTATATTTTTACATTGAATCTACAAAAAATGAAGTTTGCTCTCATTTAGGTTCAATTTGAGAGCTGCTTGCCTAAAGAACAGATTATGCATAGAGTATCGGAATGGGTTTTGGGAAATCAAATTCATGCATGCATTCATGTATCTCTCGATAAAAAAAAAATCTAATTCATGCAATTTCTTTGTTGTCTTCTTTACCGTGTTGTAATTGTAGATAATGTATCAGATTGCAAGTTTCTTGATTTGATAGGTCGTGGTGGAATCTCCCTATCATTGTTATGTAATTTCTTTTCCTTTAACGAAAATTTTCTTTTACTAAAAAAAATTGTAGATAATGAACAGTGGCAAAGGGGATTCCACATTCCAGCAATTCAAATAACAATGAGGGCTCAAAAGACATAATCTAGAAGAAGCAAAGGGGTGTAGGCATTGAACTATTCCTTAATAGCAACTCTTTATGGGACTTGATGGACTTTAGATCCTCTTTGACATATTTGATATCATTAATTGTTGCTGTGTCCTTTCTAGATTAATAAATGTTATGGTTGTGCCTTGAATTCTTTGTTGCGATCTGCTTCATGAATCCACTTCAAATTAAGTTGAGAAAAAAAACCTAAAGGCAAAATTTCATAAGTGGTTAGTGGTGGAAGCATAGGGCTTGGGCCGCACAGACCCGATCCATATTTAGCATATGGGTCTGACCTGAATATGAAGAGTTATGTATTTTGAGGGTTTCCTCTCTTGTCTACTTTTTCTTTTGGCTTGTGAGAGAAGTTGAGTGACTTTGGGTGTATTTGGGGTTTAGGGTTTTTCTGTGAGTGAGGTTGTCAGTGCAACTCTGTATTCTTCTCCATTGCTGATTTCATAGTAGATTTCTGCTCCTCTTTCACCCGTGGACATAGGCTATAATCTGAACCATGAAAATCTGTGTGTTCTCTGTTTCTCTTTTGATTTTGGGTGCCATTTGAATCTGTATTGCTGGGTTTTGTGCAACGATAAAAAATATTGATGTAATCCTGTTTTGGTATGTCATTGTAATTGGAAAACAGATGGGGTTAGCACAATTCACAAGTTAACCAAATTGTATGGTTATAGGAAACAAAGGTCATGGTAGTATATTTTGTAGTCTGAATGGTGTAAGTGCTAGAAAAAATGGGATTTTTGTTTATTTCTTCCCCACTGTTGTCTGTAGCCTTCTTCTTTTCATTACCAAAAAATGAAAAACCATCTGGGTTACTACTCCTTGGTCTTGTTCTCATGTACATCCCTTTTTAAATCCTTGTCCTCTAGCCCATCTATCCAAAAGGAAAATCCCTTTTTCCTGCAAAGTAGTTTGGAGAGGACCCACCCCACCAAAGGTGAGGGCTTTTTGCTCAAGTGTAGTTCTCTTGAAAACAAATAGTAGTGAGAATCGTTAAAAGAGAAAATTTCCTATACTTTTGTGTCATGCATTTGGGAGTTTTTTCTCACTCTTTTTGGATGCAGGAGGGATCTATGGGACATGAGAAGTGTTTTTAGTACATCATTTTTCTCGGGAAGCCCTACTGTGGACAGTTTGGAAGGAAAGACATAATAGAGCTTTAAAGGATAGAATTCAGATGAGAGATGCATTAGTAGAAAGTATTTCTGTGAGAGTAATCCATTTGATGAAGACCCTGGGAGTTTTTCAGCCATGCTCTACAAACTTCATCATCAGGAATTGGCAAAACATGGCATCTTCATCTTTGGAAAGGGTGCAGCTTGGCTGCTTGGGTAATCCTAGAAGGTCAGGTATTGGTTGGGCATTTAGAGACAAAGATGGAAATGTTTTAGCTCTATTTTAAGGCCCTGTTGGCATTGGGAATTCTATTAGAACAGAACTGATGGCAATTTTGCTACAACAATTTATTGGTAGAGGGGGATTGCAAGGTTATAGTGTACTGGGTAGCATGACAAGGAGGATGCTTGTAACTTCTGAAGTTGGGTAGCATTGCTATCCCATAATAGGGTGCCATGAATTACTTTGATTTTTCATGCATTAATCACTTATACATATTTACCAAGTTTCTGACAACTATATACTTAAATGAGAGTTTCCACTAGGAAGGGTAAAGAAAATATGGTGTATTAGATGCACATTATTTCCCAAATACTTATAAGTGATTAAATGGCGTTTTCTGATTGTAAATCAGTTACTATAAATATCATTTTCCCATTTCATTCATAAAAAAAAATCATTTTCCCATTTTGAAATTTCTTTTGCACAATATCAGTTTATACTTGATGCCTAATTCAAACTGCAAAATGCTGTTATTAGGTTATGTGGTGAATTATTTAAATGTTGTTTCCCAGGCTCCTCCTCGAGCTGAAGTAGTGAAGAGCTTGAGGAATGGTATGGTGTTAAACCTTCTGGGAATGGGTGCTTCTATTCTAGGCATGCAATCCAAGGTTGGGTTATTGGTTGCAAAGGCTCTTACTTCCTCAGCAAATCTGTACTACCAGGGTGGCTCTCCGGGTTACAGTCCTGTGCTAGCATTGGATGTGTTCTTGGTCCAGGTACACTTGCTACTTTCTGTTTTTTTTTTTTTCCTTTTTTATAGAAATCCCATACTTAAATCTGAATAACAACCTTTACCCATTGTGTATTTCTTTGAACTTCATTGCTCATATTCAATGCATATTGTATTTTACATCTTGGGAACTTGATCTATTTAACCACCTCTCAATGTTTCTGTGAAGACAATGGCTTTGAATGGAGGAAAATGTGAATATATAAAGAATGAAGCATTTCAATTACCATTTGGCTTAACCCATTAACTGCAACTTTTAAATTGTGAAGTTATTATATTGCATGCAGGGGTGGAGCCAAGTATATTGGTGGGGGTCCTTGGCCCCCCCGAACTTTTTGTTAGAACCATTATTTATATGGTGGAGACTGGGTCAAAAGAGCGTAATAAAGTGGGCCCTTGACCCCAAAAAAAAAACTTGAACTAAAATGTAAAGGATCACTCTCTAACGCTCCTCCAACTCCCAAAATTAATATATACAAATATATATATTTTTCTTTAAAATAATCTGTAATAAACCCAAACCTTCTTAGGCCATTTCACCCAAACTCTACTTCTACCCCTATCTCATTTTATTGTTTAACCCCCCCCCCNCCCCCCCAAACAGAAAATTCCTGTCTCCGTCACTGGCTGCATGAAATTACAGTACATATAATCCCCTATGTTTTGTTACCTTGATCAAGAAGGAAGACTTTGTCTAAAGATTTTCAACAATTTGGATGGTTTTGGTTCAAAATCTGATCTCATGACAAGATCTAAACAAGCCATGTCTGCTCACTTGCTTTAGTCCATGCTCTGCTTTTGCTCTTGGATTATAAACGTTGGAGGTGCCATCTTCATCATTGTAATTAATCAAGATTTGCTACTACTGTACAATAATTTGCTTTAGTGCAATCACTTGTGAAGATTTCTTGAAAGCTAGGAGTCTAATTGAGTTTACAACCAGAATTTTCGTTTATGAAAGCCGTTTCATCTTTCTTTTTGTTATCAATTAATTAATTTGTATAAGATACCAATATCACAAAGACATTGTTTTGCATTTGTTGACAGTGGTTTCCCATGTTCCATTCCAAGTTCTGGTGTGACACAAATAGACAACATAGAAATCTGTATATCTAGTTGTGATGTTCTGGTGTTCATCTATGATTGTTATTGAAATGATGCTTAGGCAACTGAGCGTGAATACTTTAGTTGATGTTTGCACAAGGCAACTGGGCTACCTTTTTTATGTTTGCATAATAGCGAAGATCTTAGTCTATGTAATGGTTTCACTTCACTTCCCTGCCTTGATTCCACCATTCTTTTGCAGGCTTCAGCCAATGCTATTCTTTCCCATTTCTTAGGGCTTGTTTTCTCATTGGAGCTCCTGCGATCAGTAACACTACCATCTTCCGAAGGGGTTCCAATTCTAAAAGTTGCTTGAACTTTTGGCTCATAGTTTTCGTTCTTGTGAGGAACATATGTGCAAGTGCAACCAGATTTTCTTCATAAAAGGGAACATTGTAAGTATTTGCGGTACTAATGAAAATATCTTGTAGTTTTCTTGTAATTTAGGGTGTTTTTCTTTGTATGCATAGAAAGGAATCCGAGGTCAGCACTGCCAGTGTATTTAACTGTTAAGCTTATCTTGCATTGTGGATCACTACTTGGTACCAAGCCTGGATGGAGGGTTGTCCCCAGTTGGCACCTGATATAAAACCTTTGTCAAAGGAAAGTAATCGTGCAGGAGCATTCATGTTGAGTACAGTAAGAGCCTCACGTATTCTTCACTCGTTCTAAAATTAGAAAGGCCAACATTTTTTTAGTCAACTGATTTTTAATGAGGGTTCAATTGTTCAATTATGATATATGATTGCCGGAAACATGATACCTGAAAAACTTATAAGCAAACAAGTGATATCATAAAATTGGTAATCATATGATGTCGGTTGACTGATTGTTGGGTTTTTATGTATCATACCTCTTCAGTACCATAGTCGGACTCCTACTTGAGTGATCATTTTCATTTATGAATCCTTTTGAGCATGGATGAATCGCGGTTTCTTATATGGGTGGGAACTTGGGATTTGGGAAGATCGTAGTGAAATCGAATATAGTACAGTATCTGAGATCTAAATCCCCAAAGAGACCCATTCAAAAGTCACCATCTTGTGGGGGTGTGGCAATTGAACCACAAAACGGTTCCCATTTTTATGAACAGGGGAGGAGGCATCGGGGGATCTGATTGTGAGTTTAAAGACCATGGACATAGGTCGTGGGTTTCAAATGTCTAATTGCCCGAGCGCCTTCTTTATTTTCTATTTTGTTGATTGAGCCCAACAACTTCCAATAGGTTGGTATGCATCGTTTCCCTAATCTGGTCGCAGGGCTCCCAACCCTCCAAGGCCGGCACTGGTGACCTGGTGGGGCTCGGATGCAACTCTAGTGACAGATTTGCAAAAAAATAGTGTCAGAGAGCTCAGGTGGATGTCCTCGATTGCGGTGAGCATTCGGTTTATTTGGTTAATAACCGAACCAAATAAACTGAATTTTTAAAAACCGAATTTGTAAAATATAAAACTGAACTGAAACCAAATGATTAAAAAGCCAAAAAAACCGAAACCTATTTTTTTGGGTTTTTCGGTTAAAATCGAATTTTATTAATATTATACTAATACATATTATATATTATATATATTAAGATATTTATATATATTATAATATATGTATATGTTAATGTATTTTATATATTTTAATATTTTTTATAATATTATATATATATATATATATTATGTATATAATAAATTTTGGTTAATTCGATTTTTTCAGTTAACCGAATTTTCAATCCTAAAAATCGAAACCGAAACCAAAACTGAAAATTTTTAAAACTGAATTATCCAAATCGAAAATAAAGAACCAAATAAATTGAAATCGAAAATTTTGGTTTGGTTTTTTGGTTTTAAGTGAACAATGCTCACCCCTAGTCCTGGGCAAGGAATTTTGACGCTTAAGTTGGTAATTGTCGAACTCTATGAGGTGATAAAAGGTATGCAAGTAGGAATCATAGAGTAAGTATGACCATGTGTAAGGATACTTTGTGAGGGTGAGGGTTTATCGTGATATAAACCTCGGAACTCAGTTGAGACGTGTTCGACACGTTTGGACTGTTAATGACTACGTGTTTACTGCTTTTGAGATGCATTCGCATGGCACAACGAGCTTATCGCTTTCAAGTAAGGGTGCAATTGAGCCTAGTCGAGCCGAACTTTGACACGTCTTGGCTTGGCTTGACTAAAATACTATTAGGTTCAAGTTCGAGCCCGAATTCGACTCAAACTATATTTTCTAGCTTGAGCTCAATTTGATTAAATATTCAATGAGAGTAGAATTTATCATATTTTTATCCCCAATTATTATGTCTTTTATGTCAAATTTGCATCTAATTGGACTCATATTTCTGTTCAGGGCATGAAAGAAGGCATTAGGAGCAAAGAAAGACAAATCAGATGATTTTTCATAGTTTCGACATCGTTCAGTAATCTGGGCCTAAGTCGCGTATCCGAACTCCGAATGGGCTGATTCAAGATCTACTGGAAAGATAAGAGAAATTTCTACAACTTTCATGTTTTGGGCTTTCGTAGATTCGGCCTTCATCGAAGTCAAATCCGGGCCCGAAGTCGCGGCAAATTCACAGGAAGGCTCAATCCGCAGCTGAAGCCCAATTGCAGAAAAGCCTGGCTGAACTCCAATTCGCAGAGGAGGTTTAATACGAATCTAAGAACAAGAAACTGAGAAGAGTCCTTCCAGATCCAAATTCTTGATGTATTCTTAGAGATATAAGAGGATTGAGTTCATTAGATAAAAATATAAGATTAGAATTAGGATATGACTTTCTATTCTTGTAAAGATCAACTTCAAGAGGAAGTAGGAGACCACCCCCTCCCCTTTAAGCTATATAAAGGAGGGAGCGGACCAGATTTAGGAATCACACAATCACTCAATCTTGGGGATTGAATCAAGAAGCAAGGAGCAATCAGTCAATAAAGGTTCAAGAATTCAAGAAACTTTCAAGAAAAAGGTGGTGGCAAAAAGAGGAGATCTCAGCATCATGGGCGAATTCAAGAGTTCTTTCTTTCCTTTTGTTTGCTTTAATTCTTCTATCATGAACTGATTTGTTTCTTGCTAGGGCTGAGGAAAGCCTAATCATGTCAATGAATATATTTTTATCTTTATGATTTATCCAAGATTGTGATTTCCATATAGTCTATGAATTATTGCGCTTAATGCAATTAAGAGTTTGTCCACCTCTTAATTGATTTGAGTTATGTGAATGAATCGAAAGAGAAACTCACATAATCGATTGAATAATTCATAGTGTGAATTGAATGGTATATAGAGATATATGTGCTTGATTCATCTGAATTTAATGGTTTTTCTTGGACTTAATGCACTCCCATCTTGAGAGCTCTACTCGAGAGATCGAAAGGTTACCTGATGGGCGTAGGTTTAACATATCTCGAGAGAGAATATTAAATAAATTTGGAAATACCTCAGCTTATGGGAATGACAAATAATCTCGGTTAATCGAATCCATTTATATTCATTACATTGGTTAGGTGGACTAAAAGCCCTAGAGATTTCATCCATTGCATATTCGGTTAGTGATCACCCTTGCTTCTATTTTCTTTTTCTAGTAGTTCATGCTCAAATTTGAATTTCGATTGTCCAAATAATTAGGGAAGACTGTGGTTCTAATACTTATTTTGTTAAATCCCCGTGGGAACGATATTTTTTATACTACTTGATAACTAGTGCACTTGCTAGGGTTATATATTTATAGCTATCAGAGAGGTCCCTCAGGTCGTGGACTACCCAGGTCGGATAAATAGGTCACAGTATGGTTAAATCGGACGTGTGCTTCAAGCTTATAGGCCAATCTATCGGGTGCTCTTATGCAATGTCAAGGTTCACTCAGGTTTCGTAAGCCAAACTATTGAGGTGCCTTTAAGTGATGTCCTGCCACATGTGTTGTTGAGGTTCCATAAAGTGTTTCTATCACCATGTAGCAAAGATATAACCAGAGGGGAAGATTATCCTTCATCAGAACATAAATACAGTAATAAATAAATTGAAAACTGTTTTAAAAAACAAGTGTTGGGAGTCCTGCAACCATAGTAGCAAGAGTTGTAACCTCAGGTTGAACTATTGAAGCAATGTTTTAAAAACCAACCCAAAGACTAAACTGTTTTTGCCTTCAAGTTGCATATCAATATTTTGACTGTTTAGGTTGAATAGGTAAGACCATGCCAATAAAAAATGTATAATTATTTTTTAGATGTAATATATGAAATTATGAACATATAAATAGTATTTTATGTTAATTTATATTTTTAATTTAATAAGTAGTTTTTATTTGTAAAAATGTTAAAAATTGTGATTTGAAGTCTAAAAAGGATTTGTTTTGCAAAAATATTGAGGCAAAGCACCCTTGGCCCTTAAGATGCAAAGATCTCAAAAAAGTATTCACATCAATAATAATAAACAAATCACATCAATCAAACATCAATAGCGAAGTTTTGAGTGACCCGTGATGCAGTGGCTGGATCAAACAAGTAAACAATTCAGCCACCCTGATCCATGATTTTTTACCAGCTTAACAGTTTTCACCAAATGACATGTTTGAAAAAAAACAAAACTAACATTTTGACCAAGGTTCAAAGTATAGTATCCGTACTTTTTTGTTTATTTTTTTCAAAACTGGTTCAGAGGGATTGGTTCAAGACTCAGATACTCTTCTGATACAAGCCGATACATGTTGATAGTTTAAACCTTTATCTTGACCATTGACTACAATTCAAACAGTTCAACCAGATGGATCAAATGGCAAGTTGAAAACACTGGATTGAAGTATACTAATGATATCTTTTTAAGACAGATAACATAGCATTCTATTAAAAAAAACTAAAAATCGTATCTACGTTCTACTAACCCTTGGCAGGATAGGAATATAGGATAGAACTTGCGGATATTATTAACGAGATTCCGATGGTTAGCAGATGTAGATGTAGCATTTGAAGGGATGGGAAAAAAATCAAATACTGCGGGTGCATTGTCAACACATGCCAGATAACTCAACAATCCTTAGCACCTTCAAGTTAGCAGAAATTTTTACTACCGTGGGAGCCGAAAAAACGGAGCAAAAGAAGAATGATGATAGAACCCAAGACGATCAGAACTTGTGAATAACATGTTCACTCAAAGCAACAGTCAGAAACGAGTCTCCCACTATATATATAAAGTTGAAAATGAGACTCCTGCAGTTGCCACTGGCGGATAAATATGCTAATGCCGATGGTAGGATCCTATACAGAAAAACCTGAAATTGAATATATCATAAATAGGTTAATTATACAAAAAATTATTACGTTTCGATTAATACGAAATCAGCAAAACAACACAAACAAATATATTGATGCAAAGAATACGGGGAGGGAGAATCAAGTAGCCACGTAAATTCCGTATCCATGCATTTTTTTTTGTATCTAACACAACGTTGATAGTATCGATACATATCCTCGAGTATCGTAACATATGTTTCAGTTTTACCGATACTCGCAAGAATTAGGTGATTTTATCAGCTTTAAATTAAACAAAAATTGGGTTCTGGTTAATAAATTAAAGGGAAAAGCCTCACAAATGATTATAAATAACCTCATGTTTCTACCAACTAAATGGACAGTGGAGAGAAGTCTCCTAAAAGTAATTATACAAAAAACGCTCGCTCACTTGCTCAGAGCAAGCGTTATCTGGTTTAACTGATTTTTCGATACAACAAAGTTTTAACTGGGATACATTCAATGTTCAGTCTTTGATACTTGAAGCATCGAATAGCCGGAAAGTGATCCAGTTCACTCCCTTTCCAAAAATCATCATGATTAAACATCAGAAGTTCCATACTTTTATTACAGCCATCCGTGCCTTGCCTGAAGAATTAGGGAAAAACTGGTACCTGCAGGTGTGCTTGGCCTACTTGAGAATACATCCACATATCCAATATCAAATGAATTAAAAAAAAAGGCCATTACCCAATGTTCATCCCAATATCTAAGGTCTTGGTGTGGGTGGACAGAATACAAACCTAAAATTAGGCATTTTTTGCATATCATAATAATATTCATATGGTACTGGGAAACTTGCGAGTCCAGATTGGCTGGAGACAAAAATCATACACAGTGGGCTGGGCAACCTATTACAAGCGAACATGCCAGTGTTCTGTATGCACAGTGTGGGTCCCACATAGGCCCATGTGTACGGAATGCAAGCATGTTTACTGGTGATAGGTTGCCCAGACCACGTGCATGATTTGTCTCCAGCCAATCCGGTCACTTGCACCATGATAATATTTATAATAGTCTTAGGTTCACTGAAAATATTAGCTGCACATTTGCACAAAGTATTGGTTTATAACAATTATTTCATGCACAAGAAAGAACCTCCACACAAAAAAATGTCCGTAAGCCCACAAATCATGCCTCATATTCATCTGTCCCCAAGTACATCACATGACTCGAATTCTTTTCAACAATTGTCTCACCAACATTGGAACGTGCCCGCCTATGATGGCCTTCTGAGTCGCATGAATCAGCATACCAGTTCATGCTTATATGCATTGAGGTAACCTGTTGTAGATACACAATCAAAGGGTCAAGCTCCGCCCAATTATACTTAGATGCAAGAATTTTACTCCATGTTATGCTCCCTCTCTTTGAACCCTTAACACAAATGTCACTGCCTCCAAGTAGCCTACTTGAGAGGGTAGTTTCTCTTCTTTATACCTTATAACCGTATCTATATAATCACCAGGCATCACCACCTGCTTTGACTTTACATTAGATTCATTACCTAGGTGTCTAGACCCAAATATCATCATCATATTTCACCATTGACCATACTCTCCATATCTGGAAAAAGGAGCAACCATATTCCTTGCTTGAAAAATAGATCTTGCTTACCTGGCATGAACTCTGCATACACTATCAAGTAGTTAACTTCAATCATTTTGCTTAAACGCAAGTGCATAACAGTACAAGCGTAATATATTTAAAATATGAATTCCCATGTAACCTAAGAATATAATTTACTTGAGCACAGACATTTTTGAGCTCCAGGTCTTGTCTTGATTTGCATACTTTACATTGATTGCTCATTAATATACAGACCTCATTCCAGCACTCAAGCTATAAATACAATTAGTACACCTCTGCCCATGTATCACTACTTCAATCTAGCAGAGTTGGTGAACTTTGCTAGTAACTAGTTGTAAGGTACAACTGTGCCCGACAAAGAAACAGCTTAAATCCAATAAAATACCATGTATTGTTCAAATCAACTTCCAGACCTCAAGCTGCAGCCAGAAGGAAGTAGCTATAATTCCATATATCACAACTTTATCTCAAGAAGTGGCTAAAACCTTCCAATATAATGCAGTATTATACTTCCATCTCAAGAGTTGCACATTGCTAGCATTAACTACAGAAGTTTGCTTCAATCTTCTTTCCAAGCAATAGTCCCATGATCTGTTGGCTTTCAATGCCTCAACTCTCAAGTAGCAGAGGCTCTTTATCATCAGACATTCTCCAATGCCCTTTAATTTCTTTCCACAAGGATTCTGCATGCTATATGATGGTCTCCAATTACCTACACATATGGTGGTCATCCTTTAGGGTCTCTATTACATAATTTGATTCTGATAAGAAGCATGAATTCAATCCATCTGCCCTCCTACTTCACCACATTTTACTCGTAACTAGACCCTTAATTGATTCTAAGGTACTACAGCTCAAAGCCTTCCCAACCCAAGGCTACAACAAATATTACCTATGATAGTCAGAACACTGAGAAGAGCAGATGCTATAACTCATTCTCCAAATGTCCATGTCAAAATAAACCTCATCCTTTTGCAGTTCACCAACCAAAGAGCTTCTGAGACTACAACAAGGATTAATAAGTATACTACCATTTACATAGATTTAAACAAAGGTATGGAACCTGTAACAAATATCTGCATGGACTATCTCGGCATTAAAAGAAAAGGCCATTATGCATTGCTGGTTTCCACCATCTGTGGTCCTTGGAGAGTGGATGAAACATAGACCCAACCTATGTAATTCTTCAAAAAGTGCTCCCCTCTCAGACTTGAAACATGCATTGTCATGTCAGCCCAAGAATTTTCCATTGAACCAAGCAATTGGTAACAACCTATCTAAGCAACTTGCCAAGGTACACTGCCTCCATCTGATCAAATCATCTAAGGAACCAAAGAGACTCGCAAAAGAAAAATAAACCTACCTCAGCCCTTCCTTCCATCCATCCCCAGGGATTCATTTACTAAGCCATCTGCCATAAAGTTCACAGATCTGAGACTTCACCACAACAAGCTATTCAACATGATACAAATGATCTAGCTTCTCTCATAAGGTGATAAAGTGACCATAGGCTACTGGAGGGAATGAGCTCTCAATGAATCCCACCAAGACTCTAACTGGTCCATAACAAGCTGATAATGTTTCCCCCATGGCTCCTCTATTAGTATCAACCAACCACACCCGGCAGTCCCAGGTTACCAAGTAGCATCGATCAAAAGATTGTTCAATTCACCCTGTGGGTTGGTGGATCCCACTCTTGTATAAAATGACATCTTTTCCTTTGGGGGGGGATCTCACTGTACATATCAACCCCTTACATCATTCTGGTAAAAAATATTAATGGCATAAAAATAATACAATAGCTGCCTGCCATAGCCACATTTACATCAACTATGCAACTTCTTCATCAAAGTTCAAAATATCGATACACCCTGATACAGCAGAAGGGGTGTATCGGTGCTTTGAATCCCACACGATCTTTTTAGTTTTTTTTTTCCAAAACCTATCCAGAGGGATCAGTCTAAGGCCTTCCTACACCATGAAATGGGTCAAAACCCCAAAGGATTAATGTTTCTTGAAATGATAAAAAGGGCTTGCAAGAAAGTTTAATAATATTGCCAGCAGAGATGTTACAAATACAGATGAAATTGATGAGAGTGTGATGGAATACTGGCACTTCAAGGAGCTATAGAATGTGCTGATGTGGATAGTATGGCCTATTGGCCCATCCAAAAGCTATAAATGGATGTTCTTTTAGTAAACAGAGGCACTCATGGGCATTAGTAAAAGTTGGCTTGTTCCAATAGGGGGTATAATAGTAACTATAAATTTAATTCATGTCCAAGATTGTAAATGTAATTCTGCATTAAATTAATAATTGATTAATGCCCATTAACTCCATATATACTTGGGCTCTAAAAGGGAAGTCATTCATAAAATACAAACAATTATGGTTCTCCATCACAGGCTCATAGAACTAAAACAACGGCCATGTCCTCGTATTTTCCTAGATCAGCAGTCACATTTACTGATACAACTAAAACAAATTACTGAGAAAATAAAAGCAAACGTGGGACCGGGTATAATTCTCAACACTGACCTATCCAAGCATATTATTTGTATAATAGACCTAAAGTGAGGGTCCGAACCAAAACCACAATCCTCAAATGAATAACAAGAAATTATATCATCATAAAACAAGAAGATAACATTGACAGTGACACATTGCAATAAAATTCAACTCCTTCTCATCGTCCCTAACCCTTGAATTAAAAAAAATAATAAAAACTTCAAAAATAACAAGGCAAGAGAAATGTGCATATGAAAATACTGATGCCATGCGAGTATCACGAAGCTAGAACTCAATGCACACAACAGGAAAAGAGAGAGAGGCTGGAGTGGGGAGAGAGCACTGACAGTCATCTCTATTGGATCTTCTTTTCCTTGTTTGGCCTTGAAACCTTGCTTAGAATGCTGTCATCAAGTTTCCTGTACTGTGCCAGAAGGATTTTGTGTGTTATAATCAGCTTTTCATCAACTTGGTCCCGGTACTTGTCATACAAAACGGGAACCGTGAGGGAAAGAATAACACCTGTCGCAAATCAAAGAAGATGAGCCAAAACCTGGATGATGCGCAAGGATCTCCACCAAAACATGTGCTAACATGGAAAAAAGAACTTACCAATGTAGGCAAAAGTTAAGAAGTTTAAGAGACTCCCGAAACATGAAACAAGCCACAAACTTGAAGCAACCTAAGAAAGAAAACCAGAAAACGATTATTTTCACTTGAAAAGCCTGAACAAAGAAAAATTTCAGAATGGGAAAAGAAGGTAAAATCCAATCCGACCTGAAGAAATAATTTGACATCTCTCCCAAGGGCGATATCATGTGCAACTGCTAGTACACGATTGATCCAAACACGTGATACCACAGCAGCTTTTCCGACAAATTCCTCAGAAACTTCCAGATTAGGTAGGGGAGGAAGAGGCCTGGATATCAGTATTAATTATTTGCTATGAAGAAACATATGAAATGAGAGCGCAAAGTGCAGGTAATAATTGAGAATTGAAACCCAAATACCTATTGAGCATAGATGCCGATTTCGCCCAGAAGAACAATATGACAACCAGAAGAAGTAGCACATTTGCAATAAGTGTTAATGGACTGTATCCAGCCCGTTCAAAAATGAACCAAACAGCAGTTGTGGAGACTAGTATAAAAGATGCAATGCTCCATCGCTTCCACAACAGCACATCCGCAACTGCGAAAACGAATATCCTCTCTCTCAGGTTTAGAGGCAGTAATGTTTCATGAAATTAGGGATTGGAAAAAGGAAGAAAAAGCAACAGATCAAGGAAATTAGGGAGGGGAGAGAAGGGATTGCAGACCTGCGCCTCCGCCGAGAAGTTGATGAACCGATTTCCGGGAAACGGGGTGAGAAACCGCGAACGAATCCTGCTCCGACGTAGAACGGTCTAGATCATTCTCTCCCATACTGGATGGCTGGAAAATGGTGGTTAGGGTTTGTGACAGATGATAACCAGTGAGGACGGAGAAGGAAAGTGTGAGAGAGCAACTGAGAAAGCGATCCAGCAGAGTCGGGCGATGGGCGATGATGGATTGTATTTGTAGTACCTACTTAATGATTTGAAAATGAATCCTCGTTAAATATAAAAGGTCCGTGTGGATTCGGGAAGGCAGTTGATTTGGGACCTATCGTCTTTCTATATTACTAACGTCAGATTGGAATCTTTTGTTTGGTTATGCAAGAGGTTTTTAGTATTCCGGAAAGATACGGTATCGGAAGACTTTTGACCAATCACGTGGTGGAGTTTAACAAAATTCTACCTGATAATTAAGGTTGGTTCGGCAGGAAATTGTCTAAAATTCATTATGATTTTTCAGCATTTTTCTTAAAACTTACCCTCACCATCGTTAAAGAATAAAGATCACTGTTAGTGTATATTAAGAAAAGTCGTCACATTAATATAAATATAATTTTCATGACAAAATTATTATTATTTTTATGGTTAAAATGCCCTTAAACGCCCAACTTCCTTATATATATGAGATTCTTATTCATTAAGAGACATTTTATTCTCATTGGCTGTTTGAAAATATTCTAAAAAAGCTCCAAAATGGGTTTTGGGTTGAATAATAACAGGGGTAATTTTGAATTATTGAAGAACGTTTCAAATTACTGCATGCCATTAGTTTCTTTTGACGTTTTAAAAAATTATAATGAATTTAAGAAAAATACTGAAAAGTCATAATAAGTTTTAAACAATTTCCCCTCTTAATATATCATGTATTTCTGACATCATAATCGAATCCGATGGATTAAGATTGTGCGATATATTATACATGCCCATTAGCATGTATAACCCACTACTTAATCATCTTTCGACTTTAATGGATAGCATAACCATCAGAAAAAATTAAAGAATAGCGTATCAAATTTGATTTCAAAGTTTTTGTTTTTCTGGTCAGACTTGTGGACCATTATCGAAAGTTCGAAATTAACTGGGACAAAGAATGCAATGGGCTACATAGCACACTGTGGAATCAATGATAACGCCCCATGCTACTCAATGGGTCTCACGACCATTCCGACTAAAAACGCAAAATTTGACTGGTGTGGGGTGTTATCATTGATTCCACGGCCTATTAAACAGCTGATGTGTTCAGTTATCTGATGTGCAAGCCTATATTATATTAGGGCTGTTAATGCTTAGATCTATCTAATAGAATTGAATTGATTGAACTGATTATCTTGATTTTGTCCCGATTAATAATTGGGCGAACTAGTTATTACTGTTTTGAATTAATTATATAATTAATAATATATAAAGACGTCTTGATTTTTAGCAATATTTATTATATTTTATGTCCAAAAGGTATATTTTATAAATTGTATATAAGATATTTTTTTTCTTAAATCACTTGTTTTACTAACATGATTATTATTATTATGGCTTAACTATCAAAATTAAAGTTTTATATCACAGGTAATTATAAATCTCAAGCACAACCCAGTCTGACCTGATTGTCCTTACTTTTTTATTTAAGAAAATAGGACAGTTCTGGTTCTGGGTCTGTAGAATACTCAGTTCAGGATTGGTACCAACCCCCGACCCATTGGCAGCTCTACTTGTGGCATTCATCTACAACGGAGTTGTAGTTTTAGTCCATATTGAGACAGAAATTCTTGAAAAGCAAAAACAATGTAGGGAGAATGTCATCCATCCATACATAGAGAATATCTTCATATGATTTTTTTTTTTTCTCTTTGAAAAGTATCTTCCCGTAAATTTAATATACAAGTATGGAAAATATTCTCACCGACTCTTAGGATGCATAATCGATTTCTGCTTTTCAAGATATCTGGGTTCATCCAGATCTGCTATGAACAAATGCTAGTCAAGACTGTGCTGCCAATCGGCATTTGAAAGCTACCTTCTAAATAGGGGATGGTCATGGACTGACAGCCTGGGCCTGGGCTTGGGTCTGTACCGGTTTTTATAGGGGATATAAGAGCACTATAATATGTCCAATCCTAGCCCGACCCTACCAGCTTAATTATATGTATTTAGGTCCACTTCTACATGGGTCAATTGGGCATTTGGACTTTTTTCTTTAGCAAAAAGAAGAGGTTATATTCATATAGAAAAAGGTTACATATGGGGAGTGTTTAGAATTGTAGTGTAAATTGATCTGCCCTTATAGAAAATGTAAGCAAAAAAGATGAGCTGTCTGATTATATTGTCTTAAAATATGTACAAAATATATAGAATCAAAAGAGCCTGTTAGTTGTCTCAGTTGACTTCTGTGCAGCTGTTCGAACCAGTGAGTTACTCTGTCTGTATTCACAAAATCCATCTGAGTGCACAAAAAGATGTGTTATGCTATTTGAAAGGGCCACATGTAGTCCTCTCAACAAGGCTCGAATTTCAGCATTATAGCTGGTGAGAGCCCAAGAAAGCCTGCCTTCTGCAATGGTACATTGTTCATTGACATATTGGAGAATGAACCCTCATCCTGCATTACCTGAGTCTGGATCAAAAGAGTCATTAGTAAACAAAGATGGGATATTGTTGAGATGTAACGGTTGACGACAAGGTTGCAAAGGCCTAGATGTTGGATACTCCAGTTGGAATTTTAATGCTGAATTTACCACCTGCAGAGGTTTTTAATTGATATTCTCAAATAGTTGCTTATTCCTTGCTTCCCATATATGTTGAACTTTTGGTCAAAAATAAAATATAAATTTACATACAAATTTAAGGAAATGTTATATACATACAGGCTTGGTGGATTCCGAAGCAGGCCAGGAATCATCATCTTACACGTTACACCTAACCACAACATGAGGTCCAAATTCCCAGAAGTCCATATTACAGTGTTCAGCATTGGTTCCATTGCAATCCCGGCTTGTAGTTTGGTTAACACATGGGCTTACCTCATATTTCTTGTCATTGTCAACTATGCTTCCATGAGCCCCTTATTTTTATTTTGAACCTGTTTATGTTATGCCTAAACTCTTCAACTCAACTCTCTTTGGGTCCAAATTCAATCGATTGTGCAAGCAAAGCTTTTTCCACCATTTCTCACCATGAACAATGCATTAATTTCTCAACAGCCGAGATGATTCCCAACTTCACTTAAACGAAAACAATCATTCATGGCTTGACTTTCAAAAGGTGTATGACTCAAACCAAGTTAAATAGTTAGGCATTCTCAGACCTTTTATTTGAAAAAAAAAAAAAAAAGTTGTCTGTCGTTCTTCAAATCAAACAAAGGCAAGAAATTGTGGAAAATCCTTATTTCTATTGCACTCTCGTGTCCATTGCCAGCCTAATTTAGGAGGTCAATTGTCTTTCATTCCTTACAGAATCCATGCAAAGATTAATGGCTGGAACAAAAAGGTAACCTGACTTAGAAAAGTAAAAGCTAAAGGAGTTCAACTATAATAAGGAAATGGGGTTTTTCATTAAAAGATGTTTAACTTGCTACTCTTCTCAGTTAGAAATTATTTTCAAAAGGTCTTCAAATAGTTGTGGATTAACATCTAGAAAGGAATCAATTTCTCTATCTTCTCTTTCTTTAAGCCAGTGTTGGGTCCCACCCTTGATGGCTAATTGGCTAGCCGCTTGTGAAGAGGATCCAATCATCCAATAGCAAGTGGGCTAAGGAACCAAAACCAACATCTAGAAAGATCCCTCATCTGAAATATTTAATTTGTATAAATAACCCAATTGTAGATCATTCAGTTGATGGCTAACTAAGGTGAGAAACCTATAAAAAGAAAACTTTCAGAGGCTTACCCAGCTTCTGATTTATTGATTTTTGCAACACTTTGTATAAAAAGAAGAAATTTATCTGTTAAATTGGTGCACTTTTTGCCAAATGGAAATGGATAGGCTGACAAGCAAGCAGAAGCGTGTGTAATTGAGGCTGATTTAGATAAAAGAAGCCAAACCCAAACCAAGTGCGCCTAATTACGAGGCCCGACAATAATTGCATTCCAATTTTTTTTTTTACATATGTCATTCTTATCCTATTTCTTTTGTTTTTCATCTACTTTTTTGCTCCGATTTAGTTTTTTTGTCCTTATTTCTAGGAGTACAAATATAAATATATACAGTGTAAATAAATATAAAATATAAAATTTTATGCTCTACAAATTAGTATTTGTACTCCTTCCCAACTGAGTCATACAAAATAATATAAAATAAAAAGTTTTGTGCTCTATATATTTATATTTGTACTCTTCTAAATGGAGCCTATGATACAAATATCATTGTCCTGTAGTGGGTTTCCCTCCTTAAATCTTCGTCCTAAAGTCTTTAAAACTTTGAACCTTTCTGCTAAAATTTAGAGAAGAAGCCAACAAGAAGCTCCAACTGAGTGGGGCCTGATATATTTCCAGCTTCACTTTTATCTCTTTCATTGGGGCCATTATTTAGAGAAATGGTAAAATACTAAAATGTCAAGCTGTCAAGCATGAGAACAGGTTCCGAATATGAGAGATGCCACGTAATGTGTTAGGACTGTGCACCTCTCCCAAGTGTCAAGACCCCAGACCCCAGATAGCTGGACCAACATCCTTTCAATTCTTCCATAATTTATTTTATTTTTCACCAGAACAAATTTTATACTTATTCTTGGGTAAATTTGTAGAACAACATAACATATTGAGAGAGAGAGAAAGAATTTTACACAAATTTCAACAATATTAGGCGCTCGCCTCCACTTAGTTGGTGCTTATTCTATTTACCAGATAGCTTTTCAGGGAACACCCAAATATGACAAAAGCTAGCTGTGCTCTTTTTATTTATTTTTATTATTATTATTTTTTTTTTTTTTGAGAATAGTCCAGCTACTTAGATACATGTGGACACAAAACAAAGTTAGCTACTTGGTTCTTCTGTGTTTTTATTCAAACAAATAATATTATTTAATTATAGGAAAGGCACAAAGCAATCATTTTAGCCAACATGATTGGGTCCCGCCTAAGAGGTTTATAACCCAAAAATCAACAAAATCAAACGACATGGAACTATTTGGCAGATGGATATTGATTGAAACTAATCAAATAAAAGCAAATCTTTTGGTACAATGGACGATTATGAATTGATTTTCTGA